TCTCAAAAAAAAAAAGTTACTTGGGAATAGGGGCTGGGGATTCTGTTGCTCCTTGCAGTGCCTATTTGTGTACATGCAGGCACCACTCCTCCAGGGTCTGTGTCTGTTCTCACCCCTCAGTGGAGGGTATTGGGCTGGGGAGGCAGGCGCCTGCCTAGCTGTGTCCGAGGCCGGGCCCCGAGGATGGAGAGGGAGGCGTGCCTCCTGCCTGGCCCTGGGCTGCGCTGAGGCTGTCTCTAGTTCCCCAGGCGGGCTTAGAGCAGCCGCCCTGTAGCTCCAGTTGGCACCTCACTGGACAGTCAGACGGGGCTGTGATGCAGAAGAGGGGCTTGTGTGGCTGTACTTCAGATCCCTGAGTTGTTGTTCGCCAAGCGGCCCCCTCGTGTTAGAGCAGCCTGGTGCTGTCATGTGGCTCCTTTGTGTCTCCCTTCTGTGGAGCTCTGCTCTACCATGGAGCTATATCGCCAGCGCTGCTTATTTTGGTGAATTTTGAGTCAGGGTCTGAGTTACCCAGACTGGCCCTCCTGCCCCAGGCTCCTAATGGCCGTGGATGCAGGTATGTGCCTTTCGGCTACCATCATGAGGTGCAGTCTATTTTAAGGGGGGCGAGCCACCCCAGCACAAGGCCACAGGAGCTGTGGGGACAGATGCAGCCCTACCTCTGGGTCCTCCCAGAGCTGCCCTCCTTGGCATGGGAGTTAAGTTGGTGGTGGTAGCAGATAACGGCTTTCTGGGTAGTTTTTCCAGTTCTGCAGGTACTAAACACAGTTTAAACTCTTGAAAGCCCTGCATGGTAGGGGCTATCTCTTCCATCCTGGTGGAGGTGGAGGTGGGCTACCCAGGCCCCTTTGCCCCCTTGGTCTAATCCCAGGGGCCCTGCACCTCCTGTGAGAGGATGCTTGCTTCTGTTTCCAATGACCCTGAGGCTGTGCAGAAAGCCTCCTAAGGGAAGCTGGCCTCCTCACATGGAGATACCAATCTCTGTGGACTGTGGGTGCTACAAAGGTGACACACAGCAAAGCTGGCCACACCCAGCGATGAGGAAGGGGACAGTGCCGAGTGTGGCTGTGTGTGTCCCGCCCACGTGCTGCTCAGCACAGCCATCAGGCTGCACCTGGCTTCTTTTTTTTCCCCTCAGTGTCGGGATCCACCTCAGGACCCATGTCAGGCATGTGCTTAAGCCACTGAGCTGTATTCCTGGCTTTTGTCTTTTTGAGACAGGGTCTCGCTGTGCAGCTCAGACTGGCCTTGAGCTCCCAGCAGCGCTCCTGCCTTGGCCTCTTGAGTGCTGTGATTATGGGTGTGCTCCTCACCCTTTCAGGGTGTGCCTGGGCAGTCTGCTGGCAGCGGCACTGGCTCCGGCTCCTTCCTTCCTTTTCATACCTGCCCTGGATGCCATGTGTGTGGCGTTTGGGGCTCGTTTCCAGCATTTTGCAGTAGTGGACAGAGCTGTGCTGGCCTACCTTGCCCGTAGCAACTGGAAGGAGTTTAGAGTATCTGAGGATTGAGTCTGCCCTTTGGCTGTCACAGGCCACTGTCTGTCTGAACCTGTCCCCGAGCCATCTGGAGAGCCAGAATCTGCGGTGGCCGCTTTGTCCTTGTGTTCCTTACTTTCCATGCAGATGGCCCAGGTGTGCTGCAGCAGAGCCAGGCTTCACTTGTGCAGGTGCCAGCTGTTGCTTCCCTGGGCCCTGTTCAGGCCTCTTCATCGCTGACTGCTGCGCCTGCTGCCCACCACCCTCTGCCAGGCTCGGTGCAGAGCTGGGCCCTGCCCTGTGCAGGACGCTCTGCCTGCCTGGCCTGGGCTACCGTGGCCTGCCTGTGGGATCCAGCAGGCTCCTCACCCTGCCAGGACAAGCGTCCTCCTGACAGGGCCACAGTTGGATGAGGGACAGGTGTGCTCCTGCCCACCTGGAGAATATTGGGAAATAGGAGCATGTATAAAGGGGGTTGAAAGACTGGGGCCGCAAAACTGAGATCAGGGCTTGAACCTGGTGGAGCTGCCAGCACCGAGCTGTGGGGAGGCAGGGTGTAGGCAGCAGGGTGCGCAGGTGTTCCCTGTGCCTGGACAGTGGCCACTTTTGGAGAAGACACGATGGGGAGCGGGTGAGGCTGATGGCCGTGCCTAGGTGGTGGCTGGTGGGACACAAGGCCAGCCCTGTCTCTGGGCAGTGCTTGCTGTTAGTTTACCCTGAATGTCACCAAATTTTGGTGACACGCTTATGTATTTTACAGACTCATTGGTGCCCACTGCATGGCAGGTCGGGTTCTAACGGCAGGGAGCCCATCGTGAGCAGGTCCCAGCCCTGCTGAGGTGCTGATAGCTTTGCCACTGGGAGGGCAGCGAGAGGGCAGCGCAGGCCTCGGAACAGGCGCCGCCGCCTGCTGCGGGGCAGCTCAAGGGAAAGGGGCGCTGGCAGCCGCGGAGCACCCGCTCACGCGCTGGGAACGCAAGCCCAGCGCGCAGAGCTTGTGGGCCACCATGTGGAGCCCGTCAGGGCTGTCTGCCGGGCGGTCCAGCTGCTGCCAGAGCCCTGCGGCCCAGCCTGGCCCGGCTCGTGAGTCAGGGAGCATCTGAGTCGAGCTGCCGAGGTCACGTGGGCAAATTAACCCAGCCAAAAATAACCCCAAAAACAGCATTTCTGGGAAACGAAAGTGAAGGCAGCTTTCAATGTAAACAAAGACGAAATGGAAGATAAAGGGTGGGCTGGAAAAAGTGAGCAGTTGGAAAGCTGAGAAGAAAATGCTTTGGGAAACTGCGGAGGGAAAAACACTGGGCTCGCAGCGCTGACGGTCGGAGCACTTCCTTCCCTGTGCTGTTGGCAGCGGCGGTGCGTGTGCATGCCTGTGATGTGCGCCACAGCCCTCCGCGCTTCCTGTTGATCCACGGGAAGCGCTTCCTGCCATCCTCCCTGGGAATGGGCAGTGTGACCCCTTAATGCCTGGGCAGCCTTGGGCCACCCTGCCACAGTGAGCCCCTCACACAGATCACAGCCAGCCAGGCCTGGTGGTGCATGCATGTAATCCCGGCAGTCCAGAGGCTGAGGCAGGAGGGTCGCCATGAGTTCAAGGCCAGCCTGGTCTCCATAGTGAGACCTTGTTTCAAAAATCAAACAAACGGGCCGGGGAGATGGCTCAGTGGAATAAGTGCTTCCCTGGCAAGCGCAAGGGCCTGAGTTCAATCCCTAGTTCTGCCAAAAACCAAAAAAAAAAAAAAAAAAACAAAAATCAATCAAACAAACCAACCAACCAACCAGGGCATCCCCCGAGCTCCTGACCAAGCCTGGAGACGACACTCCTAGAGCAGGACAGAGATTTCCGCTGGACGGAGGTGCAGGAAGGCCTGCAGGCCTGGAGCGCCCAGAATCACGTGTGAAATTGGGGATGAAGCCTGTGCGTTACTGTTCATGTCACGCGTGTGCCTGTGCTAACGTCTTGCTGGGTGGAAGAGAAATGTGTTGTGGGACATGCTGCCCACGCGGGCCCAGCCGCCCGGGGCCACAGGCTACACCTCGCTGGCCAGGGCTGCAAGTGTTTTAACACGGCTGATGTGCACAACAAAACTTCCTGTGTGTGCGTAGTTGTGACAGCAAAGCACCACGCCTCAGACTCGAATTGCACAGTGAAATGAGAACACTCTCCTGGCTCCACAGGTGTGCGCGCACATGCACACACTGGCAGTTGCATGATTACTGGCAGGCCAGCAGGTGCACACACACGGGGCGTCCGCGCACGTGGCTGGAGGGGGGTGTGGCGGGCACAGGCACGGGCAGCGTCACGCCCGCCCCTGCACAGCGGTCCTGTCCCTGGCGCTGCTGCGCTCGGGCAGTCGCGCTGACAGCCGCGATCTCCTGGGGCTTCAGTGCCAGCTTCTGGGCGGCCTGTAGCCCAGGCGGACACCATCGAAGGGCGATCACCGACTGATGAAATCACAGATAGAAGCAGCTGAAGGGTTTGCCATGCCTGAGTGTCTTGCTGGTCTTCCCCAGAGGATGGTCCTCCTGGCAGTGTGGCGTGGGCAGGTTCGTCTTCTCGAGGTTCCCACCGTGCTGGGCAATGCGGGCTGTGGCTGCTCAAGGCCGCTATCTGCTTGGTGTGGCCCAGTGAGACTTCCTGCTCAGGGCTCTGGCAGGTGGGGTGTCAGATACCAGCGGGCCCTAGTCCTGAGCATGCCTTGTCTGCCTCCCTTGCTGCGTGTACTGATCCCGAGCCAGCCCTGTGCCTGGCCCGCTTGGCACCCAGCAGGTAGAGGTCAGGACAGCTGCACCCTGCTGGGCCCCAAGCAGCTCCAAGGAAGAGTGGGGAGCTGCTGCGTGCCGGCTCTGGAGGACTTGCTTGAGGCTGTGAGTGGGGAGAGGCGGTGTGAGGTCCCGCTCCTCGGTCTGCCTTGCCCGAGGAGGGGAGGGCAGGCACCATGAGGTGCTGCCGTGGGCGTCTCTTGGGAGCTCGCCCACCCTCGGCGAGCGCCCTGGAGGTGGAGCTCTGCCGGGCTGTTCAGATGTGTCCTGTCCTTTATGCTGTTCTCATGGTGATGCTTAGAGCACCGAGGTTAGTTTACAATCTACACGAGGACACCATTAAGTCCTGCTTTGTAATTGGTTTTATGGAAATTAATTGATTTGAAGAAATACAAAATAAAGCCTGTTTCAGATAAAGGCACAGAATTGATGCCGTGGCTACACATCTGCCCGGTGCATGAACTCCTGACGAGGCAGGTGAGGCATTGGGTTCAAGCGCCCGGGCTGCCCTTCCTCTGGGAGGCAGGGCAGGTCCCCGCCTTCCCCAGGCAGCGCTTCTGCCTGCCCTCGCAGTCCAGTGAGGCATCTGTGGAGGTGGAAGTGCGAGTACCCGTTTGCCCTGGTGGAGTCCACTCATCCGTGTGACCCGCATTCCACCCCACAACGTGGCACGAACGAAAATGGCGCTTGCTTTTCGAGGAGGAGCTAACACTGTCCTGCCCACCTGACAGAGAGTGAGCTGGGTGTGTTTTGTCTCCCCAGATGGCCCCCCGGGCTGAGCCCCCTGTGAGCAGCGTGGGGAACAACAGCCTGGAGAAGGCGCTGCCCGCATCTGCGCATCCCGTGGAGGAGCCCAGGAAGCCGCTGGGGAAGCTCAGCAAAGGTGGGTCTGGGCCTGGCCTGGGAGCCGCAGGCAGCCTCCTTCCTCTCTCGCACGAGTGTGCAGTGGCAGGAAGAACCACAAATGATGGCGTTATTAAGGGTAGCAGAGTGTTAAGTGCCCTGTCCTCTGCATACCAAAATAAGTGTGTTCTGGGGCCGGATGTCCCTTGAGTGGCACCAGCCCTGCGCCCCGAGGGCAGGGCAGGGCCGTGCGGGGCTCTGTCTACACTGCCCTGGTGCCAAGAGTGCTGCAAGCTGTGGTGGGCTGTGCACTTGAGCGCCTGTGTGACCGGGGGTGGCAGGTGGGGGCCTCTCTGCAGCCTCTCTCCTTGTAGCTCTCTTCTTCAGCTGGCTGACAGTCTGGCTAAATTATTTGAAAACTGGGAGAGAGAAAAGGCTTCTAGAGATACTGGCAGCGGTCAGAGGGGAGACAGGAGGAGGCGCCCTGCTTGGGTCCCTCTGCCAGCCAAGCTGGTCTGGCTCGCTTTGGGCTCTGGCCCTGGTGTCACTGGTAGGGTGGCCTCCCTTGCTGCAGAGGCCAGATCTGCCTGTCTGTGCTTGTCCTCTGCTAGCCTGTGTCCTTGTGCCAAGCGCCATGTCTCGCTGGTGTGTTAAGTGCTGTGTCTCTCAAGTGAAGTCCTGCCCGGTATGGCCATCAGAAACACTGGCCTCTGATTGGGCCGTGGCTCAGAGACCATCCAGCTTCTCCACGCCTCGCCAGGCTTGTGTCATAGGGTCAGTTGGGGGCGTGAGAGTCCAGGGTCCCCACAGCCCGGTGAGGTGCTGACCACGCCCGTCTGCAGAGTCCCGGAGGTCACAGCAGCCCACACGCTCCTTCTTCCTGGGGATGGTGACCCCACTCAGAGGTTTCTTCTGCCTGGTCCCGCCCAGCACAGAGAGGTGGCCCTGGTGGGAGAAGCTGTGCTCCCCAGAGAGCTGTTCTCCCTTCTGCACAGTGTCCCAGGAGAACGCCACGGCACCTGTGCCCTGCATCGAAGAGGCATGCAGGCTCATGCCCCTTTCTGGGTTTTGTGGTAGAATTTCAAAATGCTTGGGCGCTGCCCACTGTGGCTGGTCTGATGCTTGCCATGGTAGGGTTATCTTCTGTGAATGTCCTGTGTTACCCACTGTGA